CAAGTTAATTCATTTAAAGGCTTGTAAGATGCAAAAACAATGATTTGTTACGCAGGCAGTATTCTACAACTTCTACAAGTTATCACAGTGGCAATTACTCCCTCACAATGATCATGGGGTGAATTGAGGTACTTGGTGTGTAAATAAATACATTTTGGGAGTTCTTGAAAGCAGAACATTTTAACTTTGGATGGAGCTCCAGAGAATATTTCACACAGGGAATCCAGATACTTTGACTTTAAACTCTGATCCTACTGACACTCGGCTCTGGTTTCTTTTCACCATGACAACAATCTCTCCCTAACCTTAATTGTTATCGTAGTAGGCTAGCCTTACCCATATTGTGAAGGATGAAGCACATGATTTTTTGTCTGTTACCCTTCAAATTGTTATGGTTTCATGAGATGAAGTGGTGAGATTACTGCTGTCACCCCAATACAATAAATGTCATTGATATTTTGGTTGTGTCTAAGACCGTACCTGACTCAGAATTACATCAGTGGAATTAGATTTGGCTGTTTAATACAAATAGTCAACATTTTGTTTGTTTGTTTTTTTTCCCATGTTTTTAAAGTTTGAACGGGGTTTGGCAAGATGTTCAATGTGACAGCAGCATTCATGTGATGTAGTAAACAAGATAACTGCACGAACGATGGATCGGAAATGTGCAACAATGTTTTTTGCAGACACCAGATATCGCACAAAAGCCAGAGACTGTATCGTATTACGTATCTGTGAGCTGTAAATTCACCACTTACAAACAGAAGAGAGAAGACAATGTTATCTTGGAGCATTTTGGTGCAGAGTTTCTCCTCTGTGCTGCTGCATTGTGTCCACAGCTGTCTGTGCCAAAGAGTAGCGTCAATGTCAAGAGCGCTCACTCCACAGCAAAATCTGGGGACCAAAATGTCTTTAAAAGTACACTGCACAGCACACTGACTAGCAAAAAAAGAAAAAAAAAAGACTGCTCGACTTGAAGCAATCTCAGTCGACTGAGAGGTCTCAATCTGATGATACAAATCTCTGACTTTCAAGGGGCTGCCCTACTGAAATCACTGAAAAAATGAAGGCTTCAACTAACTCTTTTTAAAATTATTATAAATCACAGCATCAAAAACAAAAGTTAAGTGAAATTAATGGTCATTAATTTCCCAGAGCCTATAAGTAACATTGTCAAATTGCTCAATTACTCTATTCATCAGCAATAAACGCAAATTATTCAGTTTGCAGTTATATTAAACAGAAAAGGTCACATCATATAGTAATACTTCAAAATGCTGGAACCAGAGAATGGTTGTTATATTTCCTCAAGAAATGACTGAAACTTTTCATCAAATTATGAAAATTGATGGGAATCAATTTCTGTCAATCGAGTCATTGTCTCAGGAAACATCCCCCCAATACATTAATAAAAAATAAAAATGCTATGCTTCAATAGATAGCCATGCATGCTGTCTTAAATAATCATTATCAATTGTAATAATATAATCAAAAATAAACTTAACAAAATACCATTATTATTACTACTGGTTAAATTATTACAGTGAACTGCAGTTCTGTGTGTTCATTTATTGCATCATATACAGTATAGTATACTATGTATTATGAAGTATGTGCTTGCTCAGGGTAAATAATATAATAGGAAATTAGTTTTCAAAATTTAATTTTTTTTCTTTGGGTGGGGGTGGCAGGTAACGAAAGGTGACTCCATGGCTATAGTCTTGGTCTCAGCAGCGCAAAACCCTCAACAGCAGCTTGCCTTCCAGGAGGAAATTTCCCACTTTGAATAATTCAAAGACCTCACTGTGACTGGAACCCCTTTATACTGGTGTGAGTTTGTCTTGTTTGTTTTCAGCATGGAGATATAAAGAAACCTGGATACAGCATTGAGGGCGCAAAGAAGAAGAAACAAAAAAGCTCTATTTCCGCAGTATAAAATTACCCAGGGCATTGCCTCCGCATCATTAAGCCAATAGAGCAAGCGCACTAGAGACTTCAGCCAGCTGAGCCGGCTACTTGCAGTTTATTGCTCCACTAACTTTAATGGGGATAAAATAATTTATAGGGATGCATGATAATATCAGCACATCATTGGAATCGGCCAACATGCTTTTTCTTACTTTCTACAATGAATAAATATTACATACACTGAAAAACATTGTATTTCCATCTGCTGTTGGGCCATCACAATAAAAGTATGCATGTATGTGTTAATTCCGCTACAGAGAAGACTTGCTGATCACTAAAATCAGGTGGGAAAGAAGTGGATATATCGATATTGGTATCCGTCAAATGAGTTGTTACATATCAGCATATTAGATATTTTTAAAAATTTAAATATTGTGCAACCCTAATAATTTAGGTGTGTAGCTCTTCTAGACTTTTGAAAAGTTTTCAGCCGGAATTAATTACATTCTGAGTCGTTTCACAGGGGTTGTGACGCTAAAAAAAATGTTTCCACAAATTTACAGATGTCTCTTTCCTGATGTTAGTCTATGGGAAAAAGTCTTCTTAGGCCCAATGGCATCGTGTGACGGACCCCAGAAATTGTAGTACCATTGTTTGGCCACTTTGAAAATTGGCTTCAAAGCCTGGCTCACTTCCTGGGCGACTGGTTTTTAAGAGTTTTGTACTTGTTTCCCATCTAATGTAGCCCTGTGATGTAGGGGTGGGGGAAATTTCCGATTCTTAGATGCATCGTGATTCGGACGTGGACGAATCTGACTCGATTCACAAACGTCCAAATTTCGATTATGTAAATCTGTTAATTAGAGTAATACAGAAGGTTCTAAATAATGCAGGACTAATAAGCGCTATACGCAGAGGAAAACAAACATGGCTGACCGCCACCCACCTCGCCGTGAGATCCGAACAGCTCCTTCTAATTTAAAAGCAGACGTGTGGAAACACTTCGGCTTCTACAACGTCGATTCCACCCGATGGAGGAGTCAGGGAGACGGCAGGCTGTTGTTGCTGCGGCTACTAGTGGCGCTACCAACCAGAGAACAATCGAGGAAGCAATTAGAAAGCTGCCAACCTCAACGGAAAAGGAGAAGCGAATTACAAAAGCCATCGAAGCATTTATTGCCAAGGATTTGCGTCCTTATTCTGTCATGGAAAATCAGGGATTTCGAGCACTGCTGCATACACTGGAGCCCAGATACACCATCCCATCCCAACACTATTTCACCGACACTCTACCATCAAACCAAAACAGAAGTCATGGCCTCACTGTTGAAGGCAGGCAGGTTGGATCGTAGTTACATGTGATGCATGGACGTCTGTCGCCACCGAATCATTTGTTACTCTAACTGCGTATTTTATCTTGTGATTTAAGATACCTGTTGTTACCTTTGGTTCCATACAACAAAGTTGTAACTTTCCACTTTGCAAGCATTTCCATTTATATGTTTAATAAAATATAATGGAAATGAATTCAACTGTTTCTTATTACAAATGCACTGTTTTTAAAAATTGCAAGTGTTGAATGCTTATTCAGTGAGACAAAAAGAAATGTGTGTTGTAAAAAAGTGCATCAATATACATAAATTAAAGATCCATCAATAATCGTCTTATAATCAAATCGTAGCCCCTGAATCATAATCATTATCGAATCGTGAGGTACCCAAAGATTCCCACCCTTACTGTGATGTCATTTCATTATTATAATTATTGTAACAAATGTCGATGTAGCTAAATGAATTTGATTTTAATAAGCGCTACTCAAAAACTATTTGAACCTGTTTGTTATTAATCACCTTTTTAAAGATATTCATTAATGGATAAGAATACAATAAGTGGGAAGCATAGTGCTTAGTCCCTCCTGTAAGAAAAACTAAATGAAGGTGATGTACTGTATAGCTGATTCACCTTTCCATGCTGAGTGGGAATATAATAAAAAAAATAATCCTTTCTGAGCTGCAACTCTGCCCACACTGTTATAATTACCAGTTAGTCTTCTTGAATTAGAAACATGCTGGGATCTGCTTGTCCTCTCATCCTCAGCCACAGGCGACAACTGACGTTAGCTCCTCTGAACTCACTTCTCACTGAGGCGGAAGATACAGAGTGCACATCCCCGCCGAAAATGACTGCACCACACAGCACTTCAGACATCATTTGAGCCTTTTAAATCTTATCTCAGGCTTCTTATCGGGCTGCAAAGCAAGCAAATATCTGTGCTGCTGCGTCTGTCCTCCATAACAAGCCTCCATCCAGCTGTGGCAGTGCCGTCCGCATGCTCTCTCAATGTGACAGAATCAAGCAGGTATTACAGCATGTGCTGGGGACCCCCTGTTATGGTGTGTGTATGACATGGAGCAAATGTCACATCACATTTCCGACCATTTACGGTGTGGCTTTTAAAGCTGCTGACGCAAACCCTTCTATTGTAGGTGAATATTCCAGACCTCCCTCAAGAAAGCTTAATTTCGCCACCACTGCACCTTCGGTGTATTGCTTTGGCTTCTTTTCAGCACTATTTTCTCCCACTAAAATGTTTGATAACTAGGAGGTATTATGCTGTCAGCGTCAATCAATCCACAAACTTTAACTTGTAGCCTATTAAAATTAACAAGACGCTTAAAAATATTGGACGAATTTCTGCAGATTCACTCGAAGATTTTCGCCATATTTTATGTGACGTTCCACTTGAAAAAAAATTAGAAAGGCGACATGAAATTGTCAGAAATGTGTAAGGCAACAACCCCATGAATCTCCCCCACGCGCTAGAATGGCACGTTTTCGGGCTGCTGTTGAAGCTTCCATTAGCGCCAATGCAGCCGAGAGCAAAAATAACGTGAAGCATACGGCCGTTAATGACGGCTGTAACATTACAAAACACACCGTTTCAGAGGGACATTTCATCACCGGTGGTCCTTCTTACCCGGTGTGAGTCATTCCGTCAACAGGCAGCGGTCGTATTGATAAGCTGTTGAATCCTGAGTCCGTCACGCGCTCGAACCTGAATCTATCAATATGGGGTTTAAAGCCCAGCTTACCTGTAATGTAGCAGCTCCTCACACCATCTCTGAACGGAGGCACCGGCTGCTAAATCCAAAAGCACGTCCGTTTCTGAAAGCGAGGCGATCACAACGGAGAGTCACTGGTGGAATGTGTGTGTGTGTGTGTGTGTGTGTGTGTGTGTGTGTGTGCGCGCGCGCGCGCGCGAGCGTGTGTGCATGAGCGTGAGTGTGAATGTGGGGGCATCAAGTGGCGCAAGCCTGTGGTCCGTTAACTGCAGCAAGTTACCCACAGTATGCCAGGGTGCCACCGGAAAACAGCAGGATTGCTGTAGAAAATAAAAGCAAACGTTTCATGTGGGTCATGAAAGCAAAAATAAGGTACGACACTCAGGGTTCCCACGGCCGTGGATAACCTGGAAAAGTCATGGATCCTCAATCACATTTTCCAATCCTGGAGAGTCATGCAATTAGTAAAAATCATGGAAAATTTTGGAAAAATCATAGAATTTTGTTGAGTGGAATGAAATTATTAAAGTAATCTTTTGGCAGATGACCTTCCACGTTATGTAATATAATAGCAAATTAATTTTCTGTAGCTACTGAGATAATGTAGCTCTGATATACGTCAATGTGTGACATTTTATTTACCATTATGTCCTTTTCCTAATTATTTTCACGTGTTCTCAAATTATATTTGAATAGAGTTTGAATGATATGTTTAAACAACGCTAGGCAAGTTTGGCAAGATTTTTTATTTATTTATACATTTATTTGTTGCTTTTTTTTCATGGGTCCTTGAAAAGTCATGGAAAAGTCTTTTGCCTGTGAAAATGTGTGGGAACCCTGACAACTGAATGACTGACAAATCAAGCTGACCAACTCATTATTCTCTGTATGCTGAAACATAGAACCTATCAAATCAAATTTGTCATAGGTGTAAACTGAGGGAGGAGGTTACAATATGATGCTGGTCGGCCTGATGGTACCTGTTACAGCAGTATGATATGCCACAGGACGGCGTTGATTTAAAATGCTGGTGGTAACAATGTAGTATAAGGAGCTAGAAAGTCCCTAGGGCGTGCAGGAGGGGTGGTGGACAGGTTGACAGACATCTGTTATAGTTCCTGCTATAGTTCCCCTATGAATGTAGAGGCAAACCTTGATGTTTTTTCTAAACCTTACCACATGCTTTTGTTGCCATCCTGGCATTGGTTGCAGTGTCCCGGGACATCAACAGCAGACACAGGAGGATACCTAATGGATAATATATAGACGTGAGAGTCCACTGACAAAGCAGCGGTATGTGACAACTTGGAATGAGAACATGTTGGGGAACCCTCAACCCCCCTTTTCATGTGCTTCCCCTCCCATGTTAAAATGAAATCTACACCCTTGCTTCACGTGTCCTCACATCATGTTTTGACTGAGGTGTAGTTACACAAGATCAGGCATCTAGGCAGGGGGCCGACATGGAGACTTCAGACTTCATCAGATATGTTGGATATGTTGACACCTATTTAGTTGTTCGAAGTATCCTATAAATACACCCAACATGAATTTCTCCAGACCTTCGTATAATTGAAAGAGAAGTGCAGTTACACAAGATTGTTTTTAAATGATATAAGACTAATACAATATTAGCACGCATGTGCCATGCAGGTTATTTATCATTTTTACCACAGCTTTGTTCAAACCAAACAGATTAAAGTAGGGAGGCCCCATCCCTTCTCTTCACTGAATGAACCATGTTGCCTTTTAAGAATCTGTCAGGGACAGTAGCTACACACAGCAAGCAACATATTGCAGCTTCATTGGATTTTACTCAAGCAGCAACCTATGGGGCTGAAAAATGTTGCCGGGGCAGGAGTGCCAAAGCCTGCAGTTACTTTAATGGCCAACTGAGGCTGGCTCCAAAACAGAGACAATCCCCATACATCCCCATGTTATAATGCTCAACTTTACAGGCAGTTACATATAAATTTCCAAATATAAAGAAATAAGAACTTTATTTTGAAGTAAAAGTGGAAGTAGAATTGTGTTACTGCAGTGAACTTCACTCTGGCCGATTCATCCACATGGGAGAAAGAGAGAATGATGTTTCTTCAAAGTGTGGCTTGTAAGACCAGAAATGGAATCATTTTAATTAATTTCACTTCATGTATTAGTGTGCATATGTACCACAAAAGGGGGGTAAATCCCAAATTTTGTCACAAACCTGGGAAAATAATTTAAAAAATCTGTATTTTGCATGCATTCCTGTCTATAGGCAATGGACAGCTTTTGCATCAAGGGCATTGATTGGCAAGATTTATCCTCCTAGCATAATTTAACATGGCCTAAAAGTCACTTTGATCACCTTATACATATGTTGTATTTACATATTTCATAAACTACTCAAAAAAAATTAAGGGAACACTTATTGGTCAGAGTATAGTCAGTTAAGCAGGCTACTGTGTGTTTGTTTCTGACCAATCTGTCAGAAACTGTCATGGGGGTGGCATGAGGGCTGATATCCTCTATTGAGACCTGTGCTCACAGCCCAGCACCACGCAGCTTGATTGGCATTTGCCAGGGAACATCAGAATTGGCACGTTTGCCACTGGTGCCCCATTCTCTTCACAGATGAGAGCAGGTTCACACTGAGCACATGTGACAGGTGTGAAAGAGTCTGGAGACGCCGTGGTGAACATTATACTGCTTTTTACATCATCCAGCATGAAGGCATATCTTTGGAGGGTCACACAGACCTCTATGTCATAGCCAACAGTATCCTGACTGCTGTCAGGAACCAGGATGGAATCCTCAGAGGGATTATTCAAGCTTCCTTTCCTTGCCTGTATCCCAGTGAGGTAGGAGAGGTTGGAGAGAATCTGTGTCTGAGCCATATGGCATCACTACTGGGCTGAGGTCCCTCAGGGTTCTGTCTTGGATCCCCTCCTCTTTTCTCTTTACACCAAGTTATGACTTTTCCTACCAAAGCTATGCAAAAGCATTTTAGAACGTTGCATTGAAAAGTTGCAGCAGTTTGAACTGCCTGGTCTGAGCTCGATGGTGTCACCTTCAAGTCAGCTGGTCAAATCATCTGCAGCTGGTTTTAGAATGTAAAGCACATCATCTGTCTCAACAGCCAGTCGGCTTGTAGTGAAGTCCGCTGGTCAAGTCAAAATAACAGCAGAGGGCGGGTTCGCTTGCAGCAGCAGGTGTTTTGTACCCACCGAGTCTTCCTATGTCCTCACAGTGTGCCAGTGTTGCTGCTGCTCTCTTTATGTGCTTATGCTTGTATGGTAGCCACGGCCACCAGTGTAATGAATATGTATAAAAATGAGTGAATGTGGCATGCAGTGTTAAAGCGCTATGAGTGGTCAGAAGACTAGAAAGGCGCTGTACAAATGCATGTCAACTTACCATCCATTTAGGTGGGAGGGGATGTCAGGTGACCAGCACTTGCAAGGGAGTCTGAGGGCATCTGCTGGATGGTTTGAGAATGACAGGTCTCTGGAGTTGGTAAAGTACAAAACAACCAATCAACTAGGAAGTCCTCATGACACTGTTTGTCAGTTGCTTTGAATAAAAGTGTCACCTAAATGAACATAACAGGTCTTTCTGTCTTTCAGGTGTACCTGTACCAATAGACGGACATGTAGCTTCCAAACAATATAACAATCCTCCGCCACTTCATCATCATTTAGGAGAAAAATTCATACAGCACATTAAATTCATAATACATGTGAAATTTCACTTTACATTTATGGCTCATTGATTCCGAATGCAGTGACTGTTGGATCATAACAGCAGAGTTGGTAAATGAAGTGGTGTATCTAGCTCGGGGAGTGCTAATGATTAAACTGTTCACACTGCAATTAACACTTCATTACAGGATTCACCTAAAGTAAAGCCACGAATGCTCTGAAACTGCCTGATGAGAGAGAGAGAGAGGAGAGAAACCGTGAGGGGGGTGGTGTGGAGGAGATGTGCTACAATAAACTGGAAGAGGGAACAGCTACATTGGTACCATCTCAGTTCAGAAGGTGGATCCTCAAGACAGACAGATACTGAGCCTCTTCACCAAATGAGAGGATTGAGCTTCACTAACACTAAATCTATGATCAATTTCCAAGTCAACAATTTCCATGTTTCCTCATGACTGGTGGGTGGAAAGATCATCCTGTCTTATGTTATCAACTTCCTCAGCACTCATCATCTTTTTAGACAACAAAAGGCTGCTGTTCCAAAGATGTGCTCACATGTGTGTGTATTTCAGAGGATTTTAAAGGGATAGTGCACCCAAAAATGAAAATTTAGCCATTATCTACTCACCCATATGCCGATTGGAGGCTCATTCCTCACAGCACTTGCGGAGATCCAAGGGGAGAGGGGGAAGCAACACAACTCCACTTGATGGAGGCTTACGCCGCCCCAGATTCAAACGTCCAAAAACACATAATTGAAACCACAAAATATCTCCATACTGTATTGTCCTGAAGCCCTGACATAAAAAGTTGTTTAGAAAAACGTCATTTGAACTCTGTTTTTAGCCTCATTGTAGACTGCAGCTCTAACTGCCTCTCTGTGTGCTGTGTTCACGTGTGTGCACTTGCACAGGAGACCAACGAAAGCACGTGAACACACATGAATGCGGTGCCCATGTCTCACTGTCTCGTGCAAGCGGTGCACAGAGAGGCAGTTAGAGCTGCAGGCTACAATGAGGCTAAAAACAGAGTTCAAATGACTGTTTTTCCAAACAACTTTTATTGTCAGGGCTTCAGGACACTTGGATCATTATGGACGAGCAGTATGGAATCTGGGGCACCGTAAGCCTCCATTAGGTGGAGTTATGCTGCTACTTCCTCTCCCCTTGTATTACTGAACCAGTATCAAAACATACTGGATCAATATCAAATCAGTATCGAATGGAATTGTGACCCCAAGAAGCGAAATTAAATTTGTGAGGATCTATCTATCTATCTATCTATCTATCTATCTATCTATCTATCTATCTATCTATCTATCTATCCAAATACTTGATATTCATTAATACAGGTGACTAAGAATTATCACATAATAATATTCTAAACAATTACTGGTATCACATTACTCTACATATACTGTACTTGGCTGACTTTGCTAAATCACACCATGGTGTCT